AACCCACAGCCTGGACCTGAACCACTGACCCACAGCCTGGACCTGAACCACTAACCACTGACCCACAGCCTGGACCACAAACTGGCCATCATCTGATACTCACCACTCCGGCGTAGTGAACCACCTCGAAGTGGGTCTCGTATCTGCGCTTTTTGTCGGGTCGCGGCCTTTGGAAGTTGGGGGACTTCCCCAGATGGTGGTCGTACAGCTTGGTCTTCAAACTGTTGTCTGTGGCCTTGGGGAACATGCACTCTTCCTCCATGATGGACAAAATCCCCATTGGCTGGGACACAGACACATTTGCTCAGCACTAACCCAAGGTCAGATAAACTCACTTAAGCTAAACTAAGCTAAGCTAAAGTAGACTAAGATCAGAGGATTTATGCAAAGATAAGTTATATTAAATTCAGATAAACTCACTTAAGCTAAACTAAGCTAACCTAAGGTAGACTAAGATCAGATGATTTATGCAAAGATAAGTTATATTAAATTCAGATAAACTCACTTAAGCTAAACTAAAATAGGCTAACCCTAAAATAAAGTAGACTATGGTCAGATCCTTTCAAATAATTTACGCCAAGATGAGTAAAACTAAAATCAGGTACACTCACTTAATTTAAACAGCATCTTATCAATACCACCCCCCGCTGGCCCAGGCATGTCACCTTCTCTATGAGGTCTATGCAGGGCTGTAAGTCCAAACCGAAGTCTATGAAGGTCCATTCGATCCCCTCAGTCTTGTACTCCTCCTGCTCCAGGACGAACATGTGATGGTTGAAGTACTGCTGCAGCTTCTCGTTGGTGAAGTTGATGCACAGCTGCTCGAAGCTGTTAAACTTCAGGAAAAGACAAACAGATGTTTGACTTTCTGACTTGCTCGGTTTTTATAAAACCGAGCAAGTCAAGTATTTGAGGAAAAGTCAAGTCAAGTATTTGAGGAAAATACAAGCAAACCTTTCAGTGAGCTGTACAAACTGATGCTAGCATCAAATCGTGGTTTAAGTGTATTTTTAGAAATATTCTTAGTTTAAGGAGATATAACACATACACAGATTTAAATTAATTCAAGGTAATTTTTTTTCTAAAGCTAAGTATAGTAAGAAAAGCTAAAAAGAAGTTACAGAGTTTGATATGGGTGATGCTAACACAGGATCAGTCTGTCTTAGCTTAGCTTAGTTTAGCTTTAGTGAGTATCTGTATTAGTGTATCTGATTTTAGTTTAACTCATCTTAGCATAAATTAATAGAAATGATCTGACCATAGTCTGCTTCATTTTAGGGTTAGCTTATTTTAGTTTAGCTTATGTTAGTTTATCTGATTTTAATTTAACATATCTTAGCATAAATTATCTGATCTTAGTCTACCTTAGCTTAGTGCACCTTAGCTAAGTTTAACTTAATTGAGTGTATCTGATTTTAGTCTAACTCTTCTCAGCGTAAATTATTTGAAATTATCTGACCATTTGCTACTTTATTTTAGGATAAGTTTATTTTAGTTTAGCTTAAGTGAGTATATCCAAATTTATTTCAACTTATCTTCCCATAAATCATCTTATCTTAGTCTACCTTAACTTAGCTTAGTTTAGCTTAATTGAGTTTATCTGACCTTGGGTTAGCCTACCTTATCTTAGCCTAGCATAATGACTGCAGTTGATAAACTCAAACTATCATCACAAGGTACTAAAAAATAGCTTGTTAGCCAAAAACACACTACCCCAATCCCAGTTTTTCTGCTTGAATTGGGCCAACATGTTTTTGGCTAACAAGCTAGTCGTTAGAACCCTGTGATGATATCTTTATATAATCCCATCCAGTTCGGCTTTCTCTTTGTCTTGTGCTGTAAATGTTCAGATTACTGGGCCGGCGTGCTGGATTCACCTCAAAGATCTCAAAGCCGGCGATGTCCAGGACTCCGATGAAGTACTGGCGAGGCAGCGCGGTGTACAGCGACAGGTTGATGCGACCCACCAGCCACTTAAACATGCGGTCATAGATGGCCTTGGCCAGGGCTGCCACTGCAGAGTTAACCTGGAATCAGACTCAGAGTGACCTGTCCTGGTAAGGCTGCTCTCCTCATGGTCATAGTAAAGCAGCTGGACCTCAGGCCTGAAGCCCCAGACCAGGACTCCCCCCCTGAGTCAGACTCTGAGGGTCAGCCTGACCCGTACAGCTGGGGATTACCTACCTGCTCCACGGTCTGGCCTTTCACGATGTACTCGTTGCCCACTTTGACCCTGGGGTGGAGCAGGCCCTTCAGCAGGTCGGCGGAGCTGATGCCCATCAGGTAGGCCACTTTGTCCACACCTCAACACACAGCACACAAAACACTCAGGAAACACAAATAGAGGAAATGGTGGTCCTAAAAATGGCTGCTAACCAAAAACATGTTGGCTCAATTCTAGCAGAAAAACTGGAATTGTGCCAATGTGTTTTTGGCTAACAAGCTAGTTGTTAACACCCCGTGATGATTACTTTAGTTTATCATCTGCGGTCATCATGCTAGGCTAAGCTATGATAGGCTAACCTAAGGTCAGCTAAACTAACTTAAGTTAAACTAAGCTAAACTAAGGTAGACTAAGCTAAGATAGACTAAAATCTGATTATTTATGATAGGCTGGTCCCAATTAAAGGAATCTAAATGACAGTATCTTACAAAGGGTGGTCCTAAAAATGGCGGTTTTCAATCGAGTGAATCACTGGTTCCCAAACCCGGCCATTTCAAACAGGAACATTTGGAAAATTTTCCCTAAATGATGCTAAAAACTAACCAATTGACAAATATGCCAATACCAATCACGGTAATGCCGAAGATGTTAATGCTAATTATGTTAATGCTAATCATGCTAATGCTGAATATGTTAACTCATTGACTGCCAGCCATTTTCAGAACAGAGTCCCACACTGCCAGAGTTTTTTGAGCATTTTGACTGATTTTTCAAGAGCCACAGAATAGTTTGTGCTATGACTATGTAAACACCGAACACACCAAAAGAAAGAGTAGACTCTCTTCTTTCATCAGGAAAAAAAAATAGTTTCTACCTTATCCCATTCTTCCTCAACTTGCGTCTCACCGGCGACATGTTCTCTCATAGAACCGTTCCCTTTTTCTTATTTGCCTACAGTCTATGCTCATCTCCCATCAAAAGTGGCACAGCTACCTAGAGGGTAAATTTGTTAGTCCATACTCTGTGTAGAAGCCGATATTTACGGAAAAACTTCAGCCGATCGTCCCCCAAGTCACTCGCGTTGAAAAACATAAAAGACCTCTATAGACGTCTTTGGCAGCGAACGGTTGTATTTGAATTGACGTCTATAGACGTCTTTGGCAGCCAATGAGTTAATGCTAATCATGTTATTGGTAAATATGCTAATCATGCTAATGCTGAACATGCTAATGCTAATCATACTAATCAATTGAAAAACTTAATTTAACCCGATAATTTTGCTTGCTGTGAGTAAAGCCCACTGACGGAGAGCTGGATAGAGAAACTAAGCTAACAGAGCAGTTTTCTGGAGGTAAACGCTGCGTTTTGGGGGCTGTACTCTCGGTGCCGTCGGCCTCCGCCTGCTCCTCTCGCTGCTTCTTCTTGAACTTCATGTTGCCGAAGTGCATGATGGCTCCAACGATCTTGTAGCAGCCGTACTTCTCGTCGGGGGTGAAGCCCAGCGTGTCCATGGCGTGCTGCCCACAGACACACAGGTCACAGTCTGCCGGCCCTCAGCGGGCGCCCAGGGGTCAGAGGTCAGAAGTTGGGGGCCTTACGTCAGTGAGGTCCAGCTCGTACCCATCGTCCATGCTCTGCACCGTGGTCACTCCCTGGGAGCAGAAGTGGTAGTCGTGGGGGTTTGAGGAGACCAGCAGCATGTCTGCACACATGGAAACACAGAAAGCTTCAGACATGGTACACGAACGACATCTCTGAATGCGAATACGATAACCAGTAATAAGTCTCTCATTATAAATATAACTTTATGTATTGGCATGATTAGCATTAGCATGATTAGCATTACCATCTTCAGCATTAACGTGATTAGCATTAGCATGATTAGCATTATATGATTAGCACAACTAGCACTAGCATCTTCAGCATTAGTGTGATTAGCATCTTCAGCATTAACATCTTCAGCATTAGCATGATTAGCATTAGCATAAGAATGACCAGCATTAGCATCTTTATCATTAGCATGATTAGCGTCTTTAGCATTAACATGATTAGCGTCTTTAACATTATCATGTTTAGCATCTTCAACATTAGCATGATTAGCATTAGCATTTTCAGCATTAGCATCTTCAGCATTAGCATGATTACCATCTTTAACATTAACGTGATTAGTATTAGCATCTTCAGCATTAACATGATTACCATAAGCATGACCAGCATTAGCATCTTTAGCATTAGCTTGATTAGCGACTTTAACATTAGCATGATTAGCATCTTCAGGATTAGCATGATTACCAAATTTAGCATTAACATGATTAATATTAGCATCTTCAAAATTAGCATGATTATCATTGGCATGACCAGCATTAGCATGACCAGCATTAGCATCTTTATCATTAGCATTATTAGCATCTTTAGCATTACTATGATTACCATTAACATCTTCAGCATCAGCATCTTCATTATTACTGATTAGCATAAGCATCCTTAGCATTAATATGATTAACATGATTAACATTAGCATGATTAGCATTTGTATCTTTAGCATTAGCATTATTAGCATTAGCACCTTCAGCATTAGCATGATTAGCGTTCAATGGTTCAAGGGTTTAACGCACACTTTAAGTTTACTGCCCTGGTTTTGTTGTACTAGAGGTTTTTTATCACTCGTCCTAATTAGTGATGTATTTCCATTTCTGATACTTTCTGTAAATACGAATATGTTTTCTGCTATTGTCTATCTATCTGTCTGTCTGTCTATCTGTGTTTTAAGTGAGTAAAAGTAAACTAAAGTGCAGGTGATCACAGTCTAAACAGGTCTGAACACCAGTGAGCAGCAACATCTGGATGGCCTTTAAGTTTTAGCAGAAATGCTCTGATGTCTACACAAAAGCTTCTAAGCTTCTGTTTCTGATCCGTATGATCTAAACCTGGTAAAATAATTCAATTTTTCCTCCAGCATTTGATTTAAAACACCAGTTTAGGCTGCATGAAATAACCCATTAGAGCTTCTTTTTGGTTTAGATAAGAGGCCCAAACACTCCATTGATAAAATGAGGCCTTTTTTAGCTGAACCTGGGTCAAAGCGCCTGGCTCAGCCGGGGCCTGTGATTGGACGGCTGCTGTCAGACCTACCCTGCAGCTCGGGTTTGTGGCTGGACAGAATCTGGTAGTAGATGTGGTAGCTCCTCTCCTCAGGCTGCTGGAACACCACTCGGGACTTTTCCAGAAGATCTGGGACACAAAGAAGAGCAAAGTGGGCCCAACATCTGGCAGCTCTGCTCCCTTCCTGACCGCTCAGACCTGAGCCCCATGCAGGTCTGGGTCATCCAGCTTTATTTTTTTACAGCAGATATATATATAGATATACATGTATATTTATATTTATTTGTGTTTATTTATTTATTTTACTTCATTAGAATTTTTAAAGTAGCCACATTGACTTTGCATAAATTTATTGATCATTTTATAGTCATTTACAATTAAACCCTGTTTAATCCATTAAAAATCCCAATTAAGATTAAAAAAAAATCTTAATTGGGATTTTTAATGGGTTCATTTTCATCCAGCATCTATTTATTTCTATCTACTTTTTAACTTTGTCGAATTTGATAATAAAGTAGCCAGATTGACTTTTCATAATTTAATTTGGATTTCTTTCTGACTCACAGATTTCGATGTCGGCTGACGCCAGCTTCCCCGTCGGCCCAAAGTGAATCCTTATGAACTTTCCCTGGAGGGGAAACACAGAGAACTGTCGGATGACCCCAGGTGAAGGCAGGACCCCCCCCCCCCCCCCATCAGCACTCACAAAGCGGGAGGAGTTGTCGTTTCGGATGGTTTTAGCGTTTCCGAAGGCCTCCATGGCCGGGTTGGCCTCGATGATCTGGTCCTCCAGAGAGCCCTGAGAGCACAGAGCAGCTAACAGAGCAGCTAACAGAGCGGCTAACAGAGCAGCTAACAGAGCAGCTAACAGAGCGGCTAACAGAGCAGCTAACAGAGC